AGGAGGATTAGGTAGAAAGAATTTCACATCGTGCAGCACTTGTCTGATCCAGGCAATATCTACAACAGTGTTTGCCAAGACTCTATACTCTGCCTCTGTTGAGCTTCTGGAGACTCATCCTTGTTTTTTGGACTGCCAAGAGATGAGATTATTTCCTAAAAACACTACAAAGCCTGTGGTAGATATCCTGGTGTTGATGTCTCTAGCTCAGTCAGCATCATTATATGCTGACAGCTGCCAAAGATCACTTACTATAGGACTGATACTAGTAAAATTAATCCCAAAGTTCAGAGTACCTTGAACATACCTTAAGATTCTTTTAACTAGCAACCAATGAACATCAGTAGGACTATTCATATACTGACAAACTGTGTTTACTGCATAGGCCAAGTCAGGTCTTGTGAACGTCAAATATTGTAAAGCCCCAACGACACTCCTAAACATGGTAGGATTAGATAACGGTTCACCACTGTCTGTCAGAATTTGATTGTGTGGTTTACACAGAGTTGAACAAGCTCTACAGGACTGCATCCCAGCTTTATGCAACAAATCCTTAGCATACTTTGTTTGATTCACAAACAGAACTCCTGAGACAGGATATACAATCTGCAATCCTAAGAAATAAGCAAAGTGACCCATGTCTTTCATTTCAAATACTAAACTCAAGTTGTCAACCACAGTTAATACCAAATATGCATTAAAGCCAGTCAATATAATGTCATCGACATACAGCAGCAACACGATCACATCTTAACCTTCGTGTTTCACAAACAGACTAGGATCAGAATGAGATAATTTGAAACCCAGAGCCGGCAAATATCCTGTGAATTTAGCATTCTAAGCCCTTGGAGCTTGCTTCAGACCATACAAGGATTTCTTGAGCTTACACACATACTCTGGATAAGCAGGATCTTCATACCTTTGTGGTTGACGCATAAACACCTCCTCCTCTAAACCTCCATGAAGGAAGACATTTTTCACATCTAGTTGCCTTAATGACCAGTGATTCATAGCAGCAAGACTTAAAACCAACCAAACTGTGGTATGCCTCACGATAGAGCTAAATGTTTCTCCAAAATCTAAACCAGGTTGTTGAGTAAATCCTTGAGCAACCAGCCTTGGTTTGTACCTTGCAATAGATCCATATGAATTCTTCTTTATTTTATATAGCCATTTACTACCAACAATATTTTTGTTGCCAGGATTGGGCTCCAAACTCCAAGTACCTTGTGATTGAAGGGCATCAATTTCCTCATGCATAGCTTTCCTTCATTCAGTTGAGTATGAGGCCACTTCATAACTACAAGGTTCATATAGCTCACCACTTGCAGTTAAACAGGTGAAATAGCCTTGATAATCTAGAAACTGTTTTGGCCGAACAATACCAGACTTATATTTGGTTTGCATAACATGAGTGTTTACTGGTTCTGGATTAGAAGGAGCAGGAAGAGGGGAAGATGCTTCATAAGGTAGTATCGCTTGTAATTGCTGATCACTAAATACAGGCGGATCATCCTCAGACTGTAATGAAAGAGATGCAGTTGATATGGAACCATTTCTAGGAATAGATTGAGTAGGTACAGAGCTAGAGCTTAAGGAGACCCTATCCCCAGATAAATCATGACCTGCAGACTCTGAATCTGGATGAGATTGCGATGGTAGAGAAATTATAATAGGAGAGGTGTTCATAACAGAAGATGAAGTAGAAGACTGCTGTGAAATAATGGAAGGCACAAAAGAATAAACAGACTCGTCATGAATGACATCCCTAGAGATCACACATTTTCCAGTTGCACAATTGTAGCCAATAGCCCCTTTATATCCAGTAGCATATCCCATAAACACACACTGAGTAGTGCGAGGTTGTAGCTTGTGCACATTGTAATGGCGAAGATAAGGATATATAGATGTACCAAAAACTCTCAAGGAGTGAATATTAGGGTCCGTTCCAAACAATCAAAAATACGGAGCTTGATTATCCAAGGTAGAACTAGGCATTCGATTTATTAACTAAGCAGCATGAGCAGTAGCATGAAACCAAAACTTCCCTGGTAATGATGCTTCAGTCAACAGAGTAATAACAGTTTCGATAATATGCCTATTCTTTCTCTCCGCCATCCCATTTTGTTGGGGTGTGTATGGGCAGGACACTTGATGAAGAATACCTTTGGATGAAAGAAACTTAGAAAATAAGTGGCTACTATATTCGCCACCCCAATCACTTTGTAAACACTGAATAGTTGCCTTAAACTGATTCTGAACATATACAGTGAAATAAAGAAACTTAGAGAACACCTCTGATTTATTGAATAGTGGAAAAAGCCACAAGTAACCGGTACATTCATCCAGAAAAAGATACAAAGTACCTATAGCCATCTAGAGCTTGAAATGGGAAGGACCCCATACATCACTGTGGATTCTAGAAAAAGGAATCTTAGTTTTAATATGAGTATCTGTAAATGGCAACTTGTGCATTTTCCCATGAAGTCAAGAAGAGCAAATCACACTTGAACCATCATTTAGAGACTCTAACTATGAATTCTTAAGCATCAATTTGACGACGGCATTGGTGGGATGACCAAGTCTTCGATGCCACAAAGAGGAACTAATTTTCTGTCCAAGAAACGCCACTGCCTTGGACTGTGAAGGCAATTTACATGGGATGGGATAGATACAATTATGACTCAGTCCTCGGAGTAGAATGGTCTTGATTCGCTTGTCCTGTATATAAAAATCGGAAGCATCAAAGCATATAAGACACTGATTGTCCTTGCACAACTGATTAACAGATAAGAGGTTTGCAGACAGTTTAGGCACATGAAAAACAGAACGCATATGTAAAGAAGAAAAGTTGCGAGAAAGAGATGTAATGCCAATATTCTGAATTTTCAAACCTTCACCATTTCCCACTGCAACCTGTTCTGCAGATTCAGAGGGAGTAACATGATGCAAGGAGGAGACATCTGCAACCATATGATGAGATGCACCACTGTCTGCAATCCAGACTATATTAGGGATATAAGAGCTCCATGCAGTCATAGCTGAGAGCTTATGAGATAAAGGTTGTCCCTGATAGGAGTAATTGGAACGATGGAAGCAATCAAGAGCTCCATGCCCTTTTTTCCGCATATCTGGCATTTAATCACTTGTGCAGAGCCTTGAGCGGGAGAGGCATCATGCCTAAAATAACAGTTGGCAGCGGTATGACCCCGCTTGCAACAAAGCTAACACTCAGGGACAATATTGCTCCTATGAAACGAGTTAGAACCAAACTTAGAGCCAGAAACCTGGGAGCCAGACATTTGAGAAGATGAAGATACCAATTTACGAAAACCCCCATTAGAGAACTTTCCTCTACCAAAACCAGTAGACCCATTGGACATTAGAAAACTACTCGAACCAGACATACCACGTGGACTAGTATACCGATGATGAGCATTATATGCATAAAAAGCAACTGTTGAACCAAAAGGGGTCGGTAGTAAACCTGTATTATTAGACAGAGAAGGAGATATAGGAGCATACCCATTGAAAGAAGAAGCCACAGAATTATACCAAGATGCAGGATGGTGAGAAGTAAGCATAGCAGAGTGGGTCAAAATTCTTGCTTATGCAGTTTGTTCAGCTGCGAGCAATTGAGCCTTGAAATCCTTTAACGAAATGGAGGAATCTATTGCAATCAAGACAGTCTTGATCATATCGTATTCAGGAGGCAGCCCATTGAGTGTAGCAATCATGAAATCGTCATCTGAGACTTTCACACTGGCTTGAGCAAGCTGATCTCGAACATGCTTTAACCGAAGAAGAAATCTTTCAATAGAGTCCCCCCCCTTTTTGAGCAGTTTGGAGCTGAGTCTTCAAGTGATTGATATGGGCTCGTGAAACTGAGGCATAGCGATCCACCAAATTGAGCCAAGCCTCTCGAGCCGTCTTAGTCCCAATGACATATTCCAAAGCTTCATCTGACAGAATGGCGATGAGCAAACTGAGAAGAGCCTTGTCAGTCTTCAGCCATTCCTTGTAACCTGCTATGACTTGAGAAGTAACACCCTCTTCGTCCAAGATTGCAAATTTTGGAGGCTGAACTATAGAGCCATCGAAATACCCAAAAAGCTCATACCCTTGCAACACAAACTCCAATTGAAAACTCCATTTCAAGAAATTATTGTCGCTGAGACGAATGGTAACCATACTGAGCAGACCATCAATCTTGATGGAGGAAGAAGAAGCCATGATGAATCAGAGAGAAAACAGGGAAGAAAATCAGAGGAAGCCCTATAATTGAATTTGGGTGAGGAAATAGAGAGAATCGGGAAGAGAATCAGAGAATCATATAATGAGGAAAGAAGTGGATTGAAAGACAGAGAAATCGCAGAACGGATCGATTGATTATGTGAAAGCCACTGAGGGCTCTGATACCATGTAAACTATCATATTCAGAAAGTATGAAGAAGATATAGGAAGAAGAAGGAAATAGAAACAGAGAGAAATCGCAAATCTTGATTTTTGTATTGCTTAATCTACCTTTAAGCTACAGCACTGTTACACGTTATACCTATTAAGTAAGGCTTAACCGTGTAACCAATCCAGTTGTCTAACTAATTCTACTAACAACCCATGTGCCTTGCACACCTGACTTACTAACTGTTTAATATCAATAGTTAACAATAAGGGTATAATATATGTGCAAGGAAGGGGAGTGATCAACTAATGGATATATACTAAGTTTCTAGGGAGAATCTTATTTCAATTCTTCACTTTATTTATTCATTTGACAAAAAACATAGATACAAGCCTTATTTATAGACTCTACTTAAGTACTTAATATTTTATGTCAATGGCTTACAGTACTCGATGTACGTAAGAAAATGTCGAAGGACCACTATCTCTTTTATTACCCCAAGCATAATAGCTCTCGTGAATTCTTTATTTACTCTTCATTCATCCCACCAATTCATGCACTTATTAATACAAGAAAAAGAAAAGATAGCTCAACACTATCAAATTTCGCTGGTCCGGGGACATTGGATCTTCCTCCGACGCTCGCTCTCAGGTCGCTGGAATGTAAGGGCGACAAGTAAGCACAAAATACCACATATTAGATAGACCCCAATGCCAAACGGACTGTGTTGGGGCAAGACTACAAACAACCCTGATGCAAATGCCACCATCATTCCTCCTATGGAATATTGAACAAGACTTGTACGCATGACTTGAACTCTTCCAATTCCAAACACAGTTGCCTCTATGAAATTAATAAAAACAACTAAAATTGACAGAAAGAAGGAGAGGACATCGGATAGCAGAAAGACTTGGAAAGATGCCTTGTCATATAAAACCGGCATGCCATCACTTGTGAATCCTACAGGCATTGTGAAAGCCGCTGCAAATGTGACTGTTGCGATAAGTATTGCTACCAGTAGATTGGTGTCAAATCTTCTCAAGTCCCTATCTGTATAGGCTTGCGTCTCTTGTCTCGGTTCTGTGGCAAGCATATGGTCATTCGCTTCAGATTCCAATTTCACGAAATCACGACAGATTTGTTGTTGGAAAAACGGCACGCCAATGGGGTAACCCATGTGGAAAAGAGTAGGAAGACCATTGACATCCTATAACATAGAGAGCAACACTTATAGTCAACAACTAAAAAGATATATGTGGTTCACATTTGTAAAGTTTCAATTATATTCATATTCACAATTGAATAAAATTATAGTTAAAATAAATAAATAAATAAAAGTAGCTAATTTTTCCACTCTCTTTTTCTCCACTTACACTCCCTTTTGCTTTTTATTTTTAATCAATAATTTATTCTTTTTTATTCTTTCGCTTTCCTATTCCACCCTTACCATACATTGATTTCTTTTTTACTTTCACTTTTATATTATCTATTTGGCTTAAATGTCAAAATGGTCCATGTATTTTATAAGGTTGGCCAATTTAGTCCATGTGTTTTCAATTTGGCCAATTTGATCCTTGTGTTTAAGACCGTCAGTCAATTTGGTTGGTTCCGTTAAAGTTGCCGTTATATGCACATGATAATCTGTTTTTATTTTATTTTGAAAACCTATAAAGCTTTTTGAAGTTAATAAAAAGTTGAATTAATTTAAAAATACATTAAAAGTTCAATTAAACTAAAATATATCATTAGAAAAAAGAAAAAATATTGAAAAGAATGGCATAGTCTAGTCTGGAAGGGGAGGAACTGCTTAGCAGGTGGAGAAGTGGGAAGGACCATTGCGGAGTGGTAAGGCTGCAGAGGCTTTTTCTTTTCTTTTTTCTAATGTTTAATTCTACTTTTTATTAAATTCATAAAGCATTATAGGTTTTCTAAATAATAATAAAAATATATATATTACCATATAGCTTTAATGGCATAAAGAAAAAGAAATAATATAAAAATATAAAGAAAAAGAAAATGGAGTGCAAGTTGTAAAATTAAGTATAAAGAAAAAGAAATAATATAAAAGTGAAATAAAAAGAAATTAAAGTAGAATAGGAAAGAGAAAAAAAAAAACAAAAATTAATTAAAAAGTATTAAAAAGGAAAAGAGAGTATAAGTAGAGAAAAGATGAGTAAGAAAATTAGCTCCTAAAAAAAATTCTTTATTTGCATAATACGTACCTCTCCATATTTGTTGCCAACTAAAATGTCAAAGGCCTTTAAGAATTCCTTGTTGAGAGCAGTCTTATCCACCATAGGGTTGCGTACCAAAATGCGTATAATTCCAATATTTTTGTGAATGGCTGCTAGATGCATAGCGGTGTTTCCATCTTTATCTGCTTCATTTATAAGTCTCGCAAGCTTAGGCGTCGTCAAAATGTAATTGACTACATCTTTACGTCCCCCTAAAACTGCAACATGAAGAATCGTCTGGCCTTTCTCATTATACAAATCACAAGTGCCAGGCTGACGTGTGATAAACTCTTCGATAACTTGGATGTGGCCTGCATAGGCTGCAAGATGAAGAGCTGACATTCCGGCTATGTCCAGTATGTAACAAGCAGAGCTATCCTCTTTAATCACCAGTCGAATTGCTTCAAGGTTCCCTCTTAATGCTGCGTAGTGTAATGGAGTCCACCCAATTGCGGCGCGTTCTCGGATTATCTTAGCACCATCATAGGATACCATAATTCTCACAATTTCTACCTTGTTAATATAGAAACATTAGGCCATTTCTACCTTGTTCAAGTATAACACATGATCAAGTAATAAAAGTAAATCAATTAATCCCAGGTAGTTTATTACCTTCAGCTTCTTTGCCCGCGCAAGTTATTGCCGCATGCAAAGCCGTCACATCATGGGTCCCCTGAAAAGAAGGACATATTTGATACTCCTGTAAAATAGAACGAGCTATGGATAGAAACCCCCGGCGTACTGCTAGGAACAATGGTGATTCATTGGCGCTATTTGTGAGACAACACAATTCATGATCAAATTCCATTAGCAAATTCACGATTTCACCATGACCATATCGGACAGCAACATGCAGTGCTGTATCCATTTCACAGTTGGTCATTCGTACCAACTCTTTCTGGGCTTCTTTACCAGTGAGTCCGCTTTCCTGATCAACTCCTCCACTGGCAAGTGTGCTCACTGCTTGAGCGAGTAGTAGCTTTACAATGTCATCACAGCCTACTCTTGCAGCAACGTGTAGGGGAGTGTTGCCCTTCTTGTTGGTGTCCCAAAACAGTGGAGATTGATTTGGAATGTTTTTGAAGAAATTTGTTTGCTTGAATTCAGCTGCAATGTGAAGAATATTATTGTCATTAGGAGTTTTCTGAAGAAGAATATCATCTGCAACATTTGCTCTTAAGAAGTCAACATCTCCTGAAGCTGCAGCCTCATGCACGGAATGATCCATGAAATCCATCTCCCAACTTAATCAAAATCCAAAACCTCTCCCTCTCAGTCACACAAATATGTACTTGCTATTTGAGAATAAATAAAAAGATAAATAGATGATTTTCTTTTTCAAGTCAAAAAGTTCGTGGAGTGCAGAAGCCCTATATAGAAATGTTCTCATGCCAAAGATTTTGCCATATGCCGACCCTCTGAGATGAGACAAGAGGTCAATTATCTTCATCGATAAGGCTTAAGTTGTAATTAGTTATGTAGGCTTATTTTTCTAGTATACTCAGAAGCATATAGATATGGAGCAAGATGATGTAATATCATTGGTAAGTGCTCAGGTACTCACCATGATGTGTCATTTGACTTATTTTTGGATCCCTTTACTATGCTAGGGCCGTCACTTTAACAATGTAAAACTCTATAGACTTGAATGAATTTAGGCTTATTTACTGTAGTGCTCTATAAAATTTTGGTCAAATCTCATTTTATTCTCTGAAAGTTAAAATGACCAACTTTACCCCCTTGACCGATCTTTTGCATCTCAATGTACCCCCACAGTCAAGTCAGTCAAAAGCTCTATTAAAAATGTCGATGTAGCATGTCAGCATTTTTAACAGAGTTTTTGACTGACTTGACGGTAGGAAGTAAATTGATATGCAAAACATCGTTCAAGGGGGCAAAGTGGGCCATTTTTAACTTTCAGAGGGTAAAGTGAGATTTGATCAAAGTTTTAGGGGGTACTACAATAAATAAGCCATGAATATATATGATTTATGCGCTAAAAAACCTGACTTCCAATAGCTAACCATTGTGCATTGAATGAGGATTTGGTTCAATATAGGTTCTTTTCCATGTCTCAAGACAAATAAGGACTTTATTAGTTCTCTAATACAAAGCTACAAAATAAGCAAGTAAACAATATGTCAGATTGATGAGACTTGATAAGAACTCAGAATGCTACAAAATAAAAATAAATTATGATTTAACCGAAGTTTCAAGGGGTATTGGTGTAATTAAGCCTAAGCATTTCAATTTCAACTAGCTTTTATTTACTACATACATTTCCTCTACACGCTCCTGTGAGATTTGTGAAAAGTTTATCAAGTTTCAAGAAACCTTGATCAAGCGTAAGTTTTGTCATCCAAACTTTTTATACATACCAACCAACCTTAGGTTAGAACGCATGAAGCACGTGAGGCGGAAGTCTTTCAATAATATTAGATTTTGAGGAGAAAAAAGTAAATTATTAGTGTGAAAAGGTAAGAAAATTTTAGTAGTAATTGTAATTTTGAGGATATTAATAAAACGTCAAAATGTGTCGAATTTGACATTAATGTTCAAGACAAGAGGGAATTTTAATCTTTACAGTTGATTTTTTTAATCCTTCATTTAGAAACCATGTGAAACTCATGGCCCATAAGCATTATAACAATTAGGGGTGGCATTTTAAACCGAAAAACCGAAAAACCGCAAAAACCAACCGATAATTTACCGCAATGAAACCGCAATCGCGGTAAACCGAACCGCATTTGCGGTATTAAGAACCGAACCGCATTTGCGGTTGCGGTTGCGGTATTTGATTTTCAAAACTTGCGGTTACCGCAAACCGCAAAGTATAGCCACACGGATGATGAAGTTGAATTTTACAAGGAACTGAAACATATGACAACTTGTAAGTAATTAGTTTATTTATACTAATGTTATTTATGCTTCTTCTTATAATAAAATGTACTACACTATGTTGTTTTATTTGTAAATAACATT